TAAGTTTTAGTTTTAACAATATAATATCCCCTATGCAGGCAAAACACAGAGAAATGAAGGTTAAGTTGCACACGACAAACACTTCAAATACCATAGTTATAACTAAACACTAAGCATTTGCTAAGCTTTGCTAAGCATTTGCTAAGCATTGCTAAGCTAAAACACCCTATAAGCCACGGGTTGGTCGGTGTTTAGTTTCAGCGAGCTGTTTCTTCACCCGTTCCCGTTCTAATTTACTCATCACATCGTTCTCTCTCAAACACTCCTCGAACGAATCCCTGTCCTTGCAGTGAAATAAGTCCACCCATCGCGTCTGCTCCCTGAGGTCTTTCAACACTGAGTTGAACTTCTGCGTTAGCACCCAGACGCTGTGATTTGCGTGCCAGCCGGAGAAGGCCAGGTACAATAGCACGTCTCTCTTTTTTGTAATCTCGCGATTAGCGCTGCAGTCGTCCAGTATGAACAGCGTCGACTCCCCTTTAAATTTCATATGGTAAGCATTCAACCAGTCCTGCAGGCGTGGTCCCGGGTCGACTCTGTGTACGTTCGTGTCCGTCATCACCCAAGGTCTTTCCGGCACGTTCTATTCATTTGCAGAGTAGGGCACATGATAACCCGTAGTCTCCCTCCAACATATCCAACATGAAAACGGTCTTCCCACAGCCAGTCTGCCCGCACACTATGGCGCAGTGTGGGTCGCGGGGCAAATCAATAAATGACTTGCACAAATCTCCCATTGTCTATATTAAGTTGCACGTCCATGATAACGTACAGATACAATTTCAACTTGCCAGCGGGTTGAGCCTTCTTGGTAATCTGGATTGTTATCCCCTCGCTGCCGTTGTCTATGCGGCGACCGCTACCGTGCAGTTTATTGTCATCCGTGGATTGCATGTCCAACCACAGCGCGTACTTGGTGGTCAGGTTTTCACCGATCTGCATGGAGGATAGGTCCAGGTCTTTGGTTATGTATGGATGTTGTTTGATGGCCGGTAGCTTTTTTTATCTCATCCCACTGCTGGTATGCCCTCATACCATGACTGAACAGCTGGTTGGGCACGCCCTCGGTGGTCACTTCCACCTTTTCAATCTCGGGGTTGAAAAACTTCTCGCTGTCCCTTCGGAATGGCTCGTAATCCTCCACTGGGACGACCAGGATGCCTTTCATTGATCGCGCCGGCACTTGTACAGCCGGCCGTTGACGATTATTACGACGCAGTTGAAAATAGAGACAACATCAAGCCGTTGGTACGAGACTATGCCAAGTTTACCGTCGATAAGAAGGGCACGCTGCGATTGAAGGCTCACCCGGGGGTCGATATCATAAAAAAAGACGGGAAGCCATATGCTTTGTCAACACTCACCAGTCGACCTGGTGGGAGTCAACTGCTCCGTGAGGAACTAGGCTTCATAGATTACGGTGGTGCAAGCTTCCCCCGAAAAAATATTGGCCACGTACCATAACAAACCCTTGCCAGGGCTCAAATTTCCCCTGAGGGAACTGCGAGGCCTTGACGAAGCCTTGAAACATGTACGCGGAGAACTCGTTAACAACATGGGGAAACTGAACGAAGTTGACTAACGCATCGCTCGCGAGAAAATAAAACCCACCGAAACGGAGGACGATGATATGAAATGACGCATCGAGGAGAGAATAAAAACTTGGAAGACGAGAGATGGACTCGGTTGGAATCCGCTTCCTCGAACCGGGAAGCCCTCCAATCCCAGATCAGTCGTGTACGGGAACCATCGATCGAGTCCTAAATCAAGACACCACGCTAGCTGGCAGGATCCGAATCCTCTTCCGAGAGCAAGGCATCACCATCGCCAGCATTGTGACTGCATTGGGCTTCATCATATCAACCCTGGTGGTGTCATTGACAGGGGGTACCCCCACGCCTGCACCAACACCCACAGGTGGCGTCAAAGACTGGATAAAAAAACACCTGAAATCCCTCGGGGAAGCCCTGGCTAAACTGGTTGGTAAGGCCGCCGAAGCCCTGCCCAGCATCCTGGGTAGCATCGTCTCGTTGCTGCTGAGCGCACTGGCTAAAACTGCCACGTGGCTCAGTCAAAACCTGTGGGCAGCCATTGTCACCCTGGCGGGTTTGGTGTACGTAGCGGCTAAGGAATTTTTAGCCAAATAAGTCCCAACCCGACCGCGACCCCGCCAACCACCAGGGCCGTTTTACGATCGATGTGCTGGTGATTGGACGTCTGAACATGTGCAGGCTGGGGCTGTGGGGGTGTTTGTTGAACCCTAGGCTCCGGGGATGGCGCCAATATACCCGTTTCACCGGTCGTGGGTGGTGGGACGTGGGGGGTGTTTACATCGAGGTTGAGGCCCAACTTTTGGTCCGCCGTGGCTATGACTATTTCGTTGTTGTAGCCGACCACTTTTTTTACCCTAAGTTGCATATCGCTCGGAGCCATGTACAGCCCCACGTCGAACACGTAGTCGACTTTTGACCTGGCGTATTCCAACACGTTTTGGTAGCGTTTGATGGCACTCAGGAGATCAACTGGAGCATTGATGGCATCCTCAACGTTGACAACGAACTGTTTCTGAGCGTCGTAAGCAGTCCCCTTGCCGAGGATGTTGGAGCGCGTTTGCGTCTGCACACCCAACAGCGCCCACACGTACGTTCGAACCGAGTCGTTTAACCTGATTACCCCGGCACGAGTGAACCCTTTCGACGTTTCCAGCATGAACATTTTCCAGTCATCAGCTGCCCCCTGCTCGAACCTCCAGACTCGGTAATCCTTGCTGTTGTCGAAAGCCATGTAACGGTCATCCCACTCGTTGGTTGTGAGGTGATGATACGACTTGTAACCCCATTATTTGAACTTCTCGCTGGCTTCCACGAGGGGCATGTTGTGAACTATGGGGATACCCAACCCGTGGTTTGGGCCTGGCAGACGCCAATCCGTCTTCGTGTTTAGTTCGAATTTGTTGCAAATACGTTCGTAGGCCCGTCTATCGTACTGGTTGTTTACTGGGTTCCACGCCTTTTCCTGTGGGAGCGGGGTGCTGATTTCTTTGAGGATACGCCTGACCTGGTAGTACACGTCAAACGTGAACACAGACTGACTCAGCGGTCCACGCCGAGTGTCGGTCAATGTCACACCACACCCCGTTGTAGCGCACCACACAGCGAAGTTGAGTTGATTCTGCCAGAACTGCATCGGTTTGTTGAACCAAGAGTGAACTACGTTAGCGTTAGTCACCGAAAACTTATACTTATCGAACACATCAATGAACTGGGCGTCAAAATACAACCCATCAGTGACCACGATCTTCATGTGGGGGAAATCTATGTCCAGTTTAGGGTAAAACACACCAGGGAAGTACATTTTAAAACTATTATATAATGAGTTTATATACTCTAACATGTACATAACACTTCCAGGAATAACGAGCGGTGAGGCCGTTCAGCTGACACACACGATCGATAACACGTCAAATAAACTCGAAGTCGCACTGTGCAATATCACCTACCTACTGCGATGGACTAACATCAACGGTAGCAGCAATAAGCTGTTCGTCAGTGGCGCCCATAACCAGATAATCGCCGGCTACTACAGCGTGTGCTCACTAAGCGACGAGGTCTTCAAACCCTTGGAAGCCGAACTCAAGATGAACGACTCAAACGGCACAGTGGTGTTAACCAACAACGGAACCAACCCCTTGAGGCTCGGCCGACCATTGGCGAGGACACTAGGGATACCGCCTGACGAGATAAAACCAACGACTACCGTCACAGGCACGAAGTTACCCGACCTAGTACCGTACCGAGAGCTGTGCATTCATCTCAACCAGGTGAGCACAACGAACAACATTCAAGGGGGTCACCCTTCCACTATACTGAGAGCCGTACCGGTGAAAATGGAGAAATACAACAACGGTAGAACCGAGTCGTTTTCAACGCGGCAGTATAAGAGCTTGACTCAGGGCAACATCCCTGAGCTGATAATATCGGTGTTAGATATAAATCATAATCCCGTGAATATAGGATACCTCAGCATAACGCTGCACATAAAATGACCAGTGCACAAGGCCCCGGAATGAAGTTGAAAAAATGCATCAATGCGGGGATCTCCGACCTCGGGGACACACGTGGATTCGACGACCCCGGAGTAGATGGTAAATTGTACGCCTTGCAACTGAAAAACAACATTTACAAACGCGTTGAAGTCCCCTCCATCGGTGGTACTAGCAATCTAAGTGATAAAGTAGATACCTCAAGAGTGGTAGTCAACACTAAGTACGCCCTAGTCAACACCGGTGATAAATGGATGTTATACCCATCGTTCGGAGGCAAACTGTTCGACTTAGACGATGTTGAGAGCACTACCGTCGCCCGAAACAAACCATATACGCTCGTCTTCACAGAAGATGACAAGTGGGTGTTGCTACCTGATAAAGACGACTGGTTTCTCAATATTAAGCTCGGCTCCCCCTATGTTTTACGGATAACAAAGACAACTACCTAAACAAAGTCGTGAACAACAGAACCCTGCTAGTGGCTTATGTCCCTGCTCAGAGACGTAGCGTAGTCATCAGCCCACTATGGCAGCCCATATGCTATCGAGTAAACCGGGCATGCAAAACATGGTATTGCAGTTGGTGTCTGAATTCGAAGGTGTGGTCACCATCCTGGAGAGTATACCGGTTAACTCAACACTGGTCATCCAAGTCTACCTAGGGGAACCATTGCGGGATGATGTCGAGATCGTGAAGGGGGTCAAACTCCGGTGGGGGAAACAACAACAGTATCACGTTTGCAACGTTTACGTGCGGGTGGGTGTCGACTCCAAAACCAGTCTGCAGGGTGTCACCGTGATCGTGGAAGACACGATATCACTAACCAAGATCTTCCTACCTGACAACATACACTTCATGGGGGTGAAGTGCACCCCTGAACTATTATCAGAAAACCAGTTGGAAATTATCTCGCAATAGTATTATAGCAATGTCTTGGCTTCTTGGAGGGATTCGATCAGCCTGGTGAGGAAGACACCTTAGACATACTCCACTTCAAAGACAACGTGTATAGGCGGATGTTGTTATCAGATTTTAAAGAGCCTGAATGGTTAGTCAACTTAACCCTCGCCTCACCTTATATCTCCTTGAAACAAAATGATGCTATCTCCGAGATGAAGAACAACGGCATGATTCTAGGATCGTTTGACGGGACTGATACTGCCCTTATGGCAACCAGCATGGGACATGGGGCGGCAGGTGTTGGGTTGTTAGCTACCATCGTGGCTGCACTTGTAGTGCTTGGTCTCGAAGCACTAAAACAGAAAATCCAAACTAATTAATTGTTCGTCGTTTTCACAACTGCTTATGCTGAATGCTGAGGGATGAAGCCACTGTGATTTCAAATTATTTATGTATGATTACAAATTTGATATCAGCGATTGATTAAGGAGCTTTATTATTTACGTTCGCGGGGTGCATGATGACATGAAAACATAGCTACCCCAGAAAATATATACACATTGCACTGGGGTCCCACGTGTGTCTAAACAAATATGATCATAGATCTCTGATGACTGATTCTGTTGACACATGCTCAAGCGCTGCTTGTTTGTTGCTCAAACTTTCAAGGGTCTCAGCAAAATTTCCAAGATGCTTTTCCATCTTTGACTCAGACGAGTCGATATTTCAAGTTTGTTGAATAAATTTCATGTAACGATCAAAATTGAAATGATAAAAAATAAGCGACGACAGTAAAATCAACTTACCAGGGAAGATTTGCCATTTTGCACACAACTTGTGCCTCCTGTGAAGAAAACGACGACCCTCTACAGACTGTTCCCCAGACATTGTTGTGTAGTACTTCTACCCGCCCCCGTCCACGAGTTGTCGAGTTCAAGCGTATTTGAAGATTAGCTGGAACATTCAATGCAACATTGCAAGAACAGGTACAAAAACACATAATATTGCACCGTTTTCATCAGAATATTGGCAGACAACTTTACTTACCACCAGGACACTGTATTCCGACTACTATTGATGACGAGGTAACATTAACCCAAGGGTAATGAAGACAATCGTTCAGGGAGAGTTCAGTGCCGAGACAATGGACCTTTTCTACGATAACACTTCGTGATTCGTTGCCCGTGTTTGAATAATAGATGACTTTGGCTCCAACGCTAAATATCAAGTAGAGTGTATCAAACTGTTTTAATATATTAGTCCAGTTCATAGACAAAATGATAAAATGTATGTCAAATTTGTATCGTGGTAATAGATAACTTATTGAGATGTTTTTCTTTACATAAAGTATAATAACATGAGATGTACAGCCTGACGTTTCAGACAAGAAGAATCGCATTATATATCTTACGTGTTGTGTCCCAACATTCTGCAGGCAACTGTTGCCTCTTCAACTCCGAACCCAGAGTAGTAGACTCTTCCCCACCGTCCACCATAGTACAGCTCCAGAACTCCTTCTCTTGGCGTGTTGGTGGCGGAGAAAAGTCTTGCTGCTGTAGCCTCTGAGGAAGACATCATGATGACATCATTTGGATAAATGTGTAAGTGTCAAATGTTGGTAGCTGTTCGCTAATATAGCAAGCACATCATATTCAAAAGATATAACCTGACGCCATTTTCATAAATAGAATTTTTGTGTATTACCTTAAGCACCCCACTAGATATACTCATGCCCCACTCCAGCGATATGTAAAGCATAATTGTCCAGAGCAAACAATCCAGTGATCAGTGTCACGAGCAATGATCCAAACCATACTTTCAGGAAATGAAAAACACTCAACACCAACAGCCTCAGATGCGCCACAGTTGTCCGTCCCCCATGGCAGGTGCTTGCAGTCCTTTAGATCTGTGTTCAGCAGCGTGCACTGGACGTCATCCAGCCACATTTTATTGGGACTGCTTGCACTGATTACCTTTCCTCCTCTGTAAAAATAGAAAGTGCGAGTGTTTTTTTCGCAATATTCCAGGATTATCACATGTTGGAAATCAAATCCGGGCCTTCAGCCTGACGATCGAACGCCTTTTCATTGTGATAGGTAAGATCGGTATAACACTGCGTGGAACATTAATTCAGTCACAGGCTTGGTTAACAGCCATATTACTTACTGGTACCCCAGAGCCCTGCACACCACTGAAGCTTCTACTTGGCCGAAATAGTCATCGCACACTGTTCCCCAGCTTCCGGAGTGAAATACCTCAAGGAGTCCCTTTTTGTAGCTTGAAAGCTTCATCGTTATGTCACCTGTTGAAGCAGCACAACGAAAAACATTAAATGTTTTCTTTTACATTGTCAAAAGATAAAACGACTTTGATAAACTGTGTTAAATTAAATGAGCATACTTCAAATGCCATCCATAAAATGATGAAAAGCATGATGACAGCATGTTCTGTTGACATTGGGGCAATACTGAGGGGGGGCAACGCGAACGCCAGTCGAGCAAGTCTATGTGAGCATCTACTGACAGGAGATCTGGAACGCCTTGACGCGTTATGATATGGCCTTGATTAATTTGTAGATCGTGGTCAGATTCCCTGAACCACCCAAAGGCCATATCTTCGTCTGCGGGTTATTCAGATTATGTAAAATGACCAATATGCAAAGAAAAGTATGATAATTTCCCTTCAAGTTACATTTCGCCATTTGAGCAGTGAAAAAAAAGGGTTCGAATTGGTCTTCAGCAACTCATGTTTGTCGTAAAAGGCGACTTATGGAAACTGGTGGTCAGGCTCGCTGACTTGGTAAACGTATCAACGTATCCCAATTGCGTAGACCAGTGCTCATGTTGTTGATCACTCGAGTGTGTAATCCAGATTGTTTACAGACCGCCGCCATATGTACTGCTGAGTGCGGCGTTAAACAACAACAATCAAACCTTTTCGAATGCACACTAATATACATTGTTTGTTGTTTATGGGGGCTGGTTTCGTGTCGTAAAATGACCCCCTGATACACATCCAGAGGCCCATTCATTGAGGGTCCAACGGAATTTATATTTATATTTATATTTATTTACATTGTTTGTAACCGAAACTGTAGTACCCTCACTTCTTGCGAAATGATAACTTTTGCGAACAACAGGTTTTCTCTGGTTTAAGTTTGTGTTTGTCGTTTTGATTCTTTAGGGTCCATTTGGTCTTTCCTCTTGGAAATCGTGGCCGTGTTCAAACAATAACCATGAGCTAGCTGCACAATAACTATAACAAAATCTAAATTATATTCAAGTAAATATATGTCCTGGTGTTAACTCACTTGGATCACATATGATGCCAACATCTTCAGTGTGACTACAGTCATGGAGGCCCCATGACCTGTGAGAACAGCTGGCCAAAGATGATTCGGTTCCGTTGCAGTTCACATTATCCAACCATATCTTCCCTCCTCCAAAGCCGAAACTTTGAATCGCCCTTGGTGTGAGTCCGTTTTTACAAAACGCACAAATTAACTGTTGAATACAAATGTGGCAGCAAAACCTCGTGATTTACCGCGAACCTTTGGGTCAAAGTGTATCTTTCTTATTGCCTCACCAAAGGTTAATCGATGAAGTACTTCTATGACATGGTGTCTTACTACTGTCAAATGTACCACACCTATCTCAGTTCATCACCCAAGTTATATAAGAACACTGTGTCCAACTAATTTTCACATATACCTTGACTACCTCAGTACATCACACAGCTACAATCATTGTAATGTGTCCAACTATGTTCATACATGCCTCAAATACCTCAGTACATCACATAGCTACTATTATTGTAATGTGTCCAAGTATGTTCATACATACTTCAAATACCTCAGTACATCCCACAGCTACCATCACTGCAAGGTGTCTGCTATGTTCATACATACCTCAAATACATCAGTACATCCCACAGCTACCATCACTGCAAGATGTCTATGTTCATACGTACCTAGACTACCTCAGTACATCTCACAGCTACCGTCACTGCAAGTTGTCTACTATGTTCACACATACCTCAAATACATCAGTACATCCCACAGCTACCATCACTGCAAGATGTCTATGTTCATACGTACCTAGACTACCTCAGTACATCTCACAGCTACCGTCACTGCAAGTTGTCTACTATGTTCACACATACCTCAAATACATCAGTACACCCCACAGCTTCCATGACTGCAAGGTGTCTACTATGTTCATACATACATCAACTACCTCAGTACTCACACAGCTACCATCACTGTAAGGTGTCCAATTACGAAGGCGATCAAAAAGTATGTAGAGCCACCAAGAAAACGATAACAATGCAGTTAATTTTATGTTATCTTTTTCTACATATTATCTGTCCAACTCATGCAATTTGGTTTTGCTATGTTCCAGTCTCATGATCCACATGTTGCTTGACCTTTTATCTTGGTACCCTCAAAAAACGCAAAATCTACAACACATGCATCAAAAACTTCATCAAAAAAAATATGCAAGAAATATTTTGAGTGTTTGAGATTGAAAGAAGTCCCCTAGAGTCACACTTAGATATTTCAGTTCATAAAAAAAAGCAGTTTGAAATTACAATCGCTTGTTAAAGTGACTCTCCCCTTTATGTTGACTGCAAGAACTTGATTTAGAGACACTACTCATCCCCTTCGAGATGACGTAATCATAAGGGCATAACTTATTCTAATATTTTCACTATTCATACATGATGCCAAGGGTTCAAATTAAACGTGTCAGCTCAGAATATATTCTGAACAGTACAAGCTTGAATATCTGGACACGATGTTTTAGGAAGATTGAACTGGGGGTGTCTAATAAAAAAACTGCCCTCGACTAAATATAGATTAAACAATCCAAATCTTTGACTGTTTGACCAATACCATACTGAACATAATTTATATGATATACTCTGAGGGCATACCGTTATCCAAGATGTACCAAATGACAGATCGTTTTTCGTTTTCTGCAGTTTTGTTGGAAATATTATACCTCAATGTGTTGTAATGACTAATATCTCGTTAACCACATTACCCACATATGTGAAATTTTGAATATGTCTTTGCTAAATATTCCTGCAAAATAAAATGGAAGCTTTTCAAACATTGGACATCTAGAATACAGTTAGTCTACGTACTTTTTCATCTACCCACGTATGTTCATACCTACCCCAGCTACCTGAGTACATCACACAGCTGCCATAAATGTAAGGTGTCAAATTATTTTCATGCACAAATCAACTACCTCAGTACATCACATAAATACCATAAGTGCAATGTGTCCATCTATGTTCATACATACCTCGACTACCTCAGTACATCACACAGCTACCACCACTGCAAGGTGTCACTTGTCTCATACCTCGGTACAGCTACAGCTACCATCACTGCAAGGTGTCCAATACATACCTTGACCACCTCAGTACTTCACACAGCTACCATCACTGCAATACCTTCATATACCTTCACTACCTCAGTACGTCACACAGCTACCATCACTGCATATTATCTGCAATACCAACTATTTTCACATTTACTACCTCAGTGTCACAACTACCTACTGCAAGGTTTCAACTATTTTTTTACCTTGACTACCGTCAGCTCACCATCACTGCAAGGTGTCCAACTATTTTCACTTTTACCTTGACTACCTCAGTACGTCACACAGCTACCATCACCGCAAGGTGTCCAATTATTTTCACATTTACCTTCACTACCTCAGTACGTCACATAGCTACCATCACTGCAAGGTGTCCAATTACCATCACCTTGACTACCCCAGTACGTCACACAGCTACCATCACTGCAAGGTGTCCAATTATTTTCACATTTACCTTCACTACCTCAGTACGTCACACAACTACCATCACTGCAAGGTGTCCAATTATTTTCACATTTACCTTCACTACCTCAGTACGTCACACAGCTACCATCACTGCAAGGTGTCCAATTATTTTCATACATACCGCAGCTACCTCAGTACATCATTACAGCTACCATAACTGCAAGGTGTCAAATTATTTTCAAGGTGCTACCTCAGTACATCACACAGCTACCATAATTGCTGTGTCCCTCTATATTCATACATACCTTGACCCAACATCCGTACATCCACACCTACTACCTCAGTACATCACACAGCTACCATAACTGCAAGGTGTCCAACTGTGTTCATACATACCCCAACTACCTCGGTACATCACACAGCTACCATAACTGCAAGGTGTCCAACTGTGTTCATACATACCCTAACTACCTCGGTACATCACACAGCTACCATCACTGCAAGGTGTCCAACTGTGTTCATACATGCCCCAACTACCTCGGTACATCACACAGCTACCATCACTGCAAGCTGACACTAGTAACCTGACAATATTCTATGGTTATAATTCTGAAGATAAATTACTCCACCAACTGAGAAATACCTCCCTATCAGCTTGGTCGGTTTTGGTGTGTAGTTTTTTAACACTGTTATTCTGAAAATGAGTTTAGATGTATTTTACACATGGTGTCTTACTATCGTCCTAGTTGTCTGCAGACCACTTTAGCTTCATCGGCACCAAAGCAATCGTCACACACCGTGCCCCATGAGTCGTTATAGTAAACCTCAAGTCTCCCAACACCATTGTTTAGCGGTGACACCAGTCGGATTGGCTGCCCAAACACTGAATATTAAGAAGGGTTGTCAGTATCAAACAATGTTGACTGAACAATTTATACTCTCCCAAAAAAGAAACGCACACTGTAGGTGATATGTATTTTCAGATATATTTTTTTCACAGTTAGTGTTTGATTGTTATAATTTCGCCATTATAATGATGGTTTGTGTACAAATGCACTGTGCAACAACGCAACTTCGGATATATTAACGCTCGTTTAAGTTCCAAAGTTTCAACTTGCAAGTGGTTCGCAATATGCACGTGAGGAATCGTGAGCGGCCGCCGCCATATAGCTGGAATATTGCTGAGTGCGGCGTAAGACCTAAACTCACTCACTCACTATTTCAGGTTGTTTTGCTTTTAGACAGTGGCATTTTTAGTTAAAAAAGATCGTTATCGGCTCACTGATGTAAATCGAAACATTGCCATTGAACGTCTGGAGGCTGGGGAATCTCAATCTGCCGTTACGCGTTACCTCAGTGTTCACCAGGGTACAGCGAGTCGTTTATGGGACCGATATCAAACCAGTTCTACGCCAGATTGGCCCCAAGGTGGTAGACCTCCGATTACCACTGCAACCCAGAATAGGTACACACGGGTACATCCTTTGCAGTATCGAACTGTTACAACAACTACAAGTGCAGTGTCTGGTTGTCGGCGCAAACCATTTGTAATCGTTTACGAGAAGCTGGACTTCTAGCCAGAGGACCCTATTGTAGCCCACTAAGGCGACGACTACTTCGACATGGATTCAGGAATCTACAAAACTGTGTATGGGTGATGGTTGATGCTTTCTGCTCCGGTCCCATCACGGAAGAGTACGTGTCCATCGACCTCGAAATGAACGTTTTGCCCCGAATTGTATCGCCAAGGTTGACCAATATGTTGGTGGGAGTGCAATGATGCTGGGAGTCGTATACTCCACGCAGAAATCTCACTTTATGCGCCTTCGGGACAATTTAACTGCTATTCGAGAACAGAGACAATATCTTTAGGATTCAAATGGTTCCGATTACTGACCGCGGGAAGAAGTTGTTCGAGCAAGATAATACAAGGCCTAAGCCAGCACGTGTCACCATTCAGCATCTTCAGAATGAGAACGTTACAGTGCTTCCATGGCTTTCCAAATCGCCCGTCCTCTGCCCCATCGAGAATTTATTAGATGATCTCCACTAACGTGCGTGAAAGTGAAACATTTTCTAAGCTATACCTGTTGACTAACAACTGATCCAGAATTACATGCGTTTTCGCACTGAATTAGCTGATTAAACTCGTCAAATTACACCAATGCATTTCTTTTTGGGCAGAGTATAGTTAGAAATTTCCAATTAAAAAAGACATATAAAAAGGCATAAAAGATATCCAAGGTGGTCGTGTCTAAATGTAAGCAGTATGTTCATTGTATAAACGTGGTCGTGTCTAAATGTAAGCGGCATGTTCATTGTATAAACGTGGTCGTGTTTAAATGTAAGCGGCATGTTCATTGTATAAACGTGGTCGTGTCTAAATGTAAGCAGTATGTTCATTGTATAAAACGTGGTCGTGTCTAAATGTAAGCGGCATGTTCATTGTATAAACGTGGTCGTGTTTAAATGTAAGCAGCATGTTCATTGTGTAAACGCTGAATTTCAGAAATGTTTATAAGCTCTGTAGCATTTGGGCTACACTGTATCACCTACAATGAAATATACTGAACAGCAAAAGTCTTTGGGCTACACTGCATCACCTACAATGAAATATACTGAACAGCAAAAGTCTTTGGTCTACACTGTATCACCTACAATGAAATATACTGAACAGCAAAATAAACGCAATTTCATAAAAGTAAGCGTTCATGTTTATATCTTCTATTCAATGAAATAACGAAATGCCCTAGTTGCGTTTCTTGTGCTGTTCAGCATATTTTGGGCTACATTGTAACTGGACCCCACTGCGTTGCGCAACAGACTTTTGAACAAACTGAATGCACTATCGGGTCTTCGTGTTCTTGTCACTATCACCTAACTGTGTGGTTTGTTTACGAGCGGGCGTTGCATAACAGGGACACTGGTGTGTGTTGTCTAGCAACGAACTAACAGCTACAATTTCTATGCCGCTTAATGTCGGGTGCTACCGGTAGGGCAGATCGTGTTGACCGGGTACACATGACCTAACGACAAGACTCTCTGGCACATAGAATAATAAACATGACAGCACAGATTGCGAGTATCTTCCTCAGTATAACCTTTGAATTTCAGACAAATCATTTCTATGTGTTTGTGTCGAACATCGGTTTACTCGCAGTATTTACATTGCTCCCTTCAACTTTGGCACAACACAGGAAGAAAGTGAATTTAGTTTTACGCCGCGCTCAGCAATGTTCCAGCTATATGGCGGCGGTCTGTAGCTAATCGAGTTTGGAACAGACAATCCAGTGACCAACAGCAAGAGCATCAATCTACGCTATTGGGACACGCTGACATGTGTCGACCAAATCAGCGAGCCTAACCACCCAATACCGTTAGACAAGCATGGGTCCCTGAAGATCAATTCTAACCTGGATGATACGTCAGTCCCAAAACTTTCAAAGTTAAATTTGAACTTCCCAGACTTTTAAACGTAGTATTTTGTTATTCTAAACTTCGGCAAAACTTTTCCGACAATCGCCAGCGGCTGAAGGGATGTTGTAAATCCAACTAGGGTCTATGTATTTAGCAAAAGCACTGTAAGTCCCCATGGTCCCTAGTATGGTGATCTACCTTCAGTTGTTGGTGACCTATAGCCTGTTTTTATGTTGTATTGTCTTCGTTAATAAAATAGTTTTAGATTTCCATGCTAGTTTAGACACCATCTGCGATACTCTAGTTATTTTACAATCCTTCGATGACTGATTATTTAACAACTTATATTTATTGTGTATGCAAAACCTTTCTCGTCACTCCATTGCTGAAATATTGCCGAAGTGATGTTAAATTTTCATTAACTCACTCACTCTAACCCGGATCTTAGCGGGTAAATCACAGGTAGACTAAACTATGCACACACACAAGTGAATAGTGAAATGAATAGAACAGACACCTACCACTGACAGTCAGCGCAGCTAGAAACATCAAATGAATCTCCAGCCTCTTGTCCATGATGCCACTAAGAATCATCAGATCATCAAGTTGTACAAGTGGATCATAATATCCTGACTTGTCCTTCCTAGAACTGCCGAGTATCTCCGAACCACTGTTCGACAGGACGTGACTTCGCAGTCAGTGTCTATTTAAGTATTTAACTTCCGGATCGACAACATGCAAATTGTATGATATGTATTCATGGAGAGGGCGCTTACACCTGGAGCTTTGACATAATACAGCTTTGTGAAACGTTTTGCTTTCAACACGTGCACAGTACACATGATGAGGTGATATTTCTTCCTCATCTACATGTTTTCACCCGCACGGATGTTTTGCGATATGATTTACTGTGTAAAAATGTATCACACTGACAACATGTTTTATATATTTTGATTCTAGATATTTTTAAAATCTTTCTATCACCTTTCACTTTTGTTTGGTTTTGTTTGTTTGGGTTTTAATTATGGGGTTGTAGTTCTTAGTGAGCCGCACTGAACCATATCTAAACGATCATGAACTTTGTCTTTGAACTTTGCCTAATCATTCATGTTGTTAAAATATAGTTTCCTTATTTCAAGAACAAAGACAGAATATTTATAAAAGTTTTCAAAAAAGCAACAGTGTATACAATGTTCACATATTAGTGAAAGATATATTCATATTACAGCATACTTTTTCTGTTTGTGTGATCACAGAAACAATTGCCGTGACGTTCCTCTACATTACGTGGCCAAGATAAACTTGAAATCGGCACTAAACTCAACTCACTCACTAACCCCGGACAATGATTTTGGAACTGTATCGTTGGTATTAGAATGATGCATATACACCATGTAGTAGCTTTCATTTCAACGCAGACAACACTACTATTTGTGTAAAGGCGTTTCACAGTTGAACGTGGTTAGGCGTGTATAACAGTATTATCAATGGAGTATTATATGTGCTGCATTGAATACTTCCAATACATTTCAGAACATGAACTAAAGAGAGTACAATACCACTGTGGACTGAACAATGGACACAGCGGGACTCTCACTACCATCATTATGAAGGGAACAAAATAGACGACTGCCACAGACAATCGTCAAGCTTGAAACATCAAATGTGTCTCTGTTCACTTGTCAGTGTTAGGTGTAATACAATTTAATTTTTGTTCGCACGCCAGCTTTCAATATGGATTGTAATATCCTGATATGTCCCTCCCAGGACGTCCTGGTCGATCGCGTAAACCATGCATGAAGTGGTAACCTGTTTTTCACGAAGTGTACGCTTTAATCAGGAGTTTTACATTAACTTTGTCCAACATTATGCGCTGTAAACGTGCACAGTGCACTTCACAACCTGATAACTTACTTCTGCTCGGATGGTGTCGGACATAATTAACTTTGTAGAAATTTATCGGACCATTATTTGATGCCTCTGTATTCTTGCTCATTGCAATGAGTTTACCTTGAATTTTTCACACAGCATTAACATTTTCAAATGGCAGAGGTTACTATATTATTTATTATCATTTTGTTATTGTATTGGTGATTATCGTTCGTTTTGTCTTGTTTATTTTGTCTCTTCTCTTGTTTTGCTTTTGTTTTAAATATATCCTTCATCGTGATGCAAATACGCATTTTGTATTGCTAATTGTCTGTTGAAGTATTGTATCAGATTGGCAGAAGCCCATATTTCTCAGAGCAGGCTCTCTGAGCGATAGCTGCATCGTATAAGTTGTCGACCGCATGTGTATATGTTCATGTCGACAGCATGTGTAGAAGATTGATGGTACACCGTATATGTTGACAGTTCTTATATGAGATGGACAGTCCAACATAATATACTGAGAGGCAATAAAAACGCATATGAGGAAGAAATGTCAGATATATTTCTCATATGTCCAAAAATGACATATGGCGGTACAGGAAAAGGCATTGTGATGACTTGTAAACAATACTGCAGTGTTTACAGAGGATTACGGATGCATCAATGTCTTTGTGAGCATCTGCAAAACAAGTGGTATGAGAACACACAACTGGCAGATGACACATTTCAATACCGTGTGTGTCCTCCTTGGGCAGCCATGCAAGCCCGGAGACTGCCAGGCATTGACAAGCACAATCTCCGAATCAAAGCTTGTGGAACGGCTCTCCAGTGGAACTGCAATGCTTGTGTCAACTCAGCTACAGCTTGGGGAGGATTCAACTGACGTCTCACACTGCGCCCAAGTTCATCCCACAAATGTGCGATCGGATTAAAATCAGGTGATCGCGAGGGCCAGTTCAAGACACCCACATTGTTCTGATGCAAAAAAGTCCCGTGTTATCCTAGCCGTATGTGGCCTGGTATTGTCGTGTTGGAACACGAGACGATGTCGTCCGTGTCGACCCATCAATGGCAGAAGCATTTGTTGCAACACGTTGTCAATGTAACGTCGGGCGTTGAGGTTCCCTTGAAGAACAACCAAGTCAGAGCAGAAGTTGACGTTAATTGCCCCCCCTCCCTCCCCCCCCACCATAACTCCAACACCACCACCAAAGCGATCACGCTCAATGACACAACGCTGAGCAAAACGTTTATGATTACGGCGATAGACACGTAGCCGACCATCAGGGAAACCGACGTTGAAACGTGATTCATCTGTGAAAATGACATCTCGCCACTGTCTAGCACCAAGATAGCCTCCAGCAGCTGCCCAACGTTGACCATTTAGGCGATGTGCATGGGTGAGGATCTGTCCACGATAGGATCGACGACATCGCATGTGACGTGCATCAATGCGACGGCGTACCGTCTGGACACTGATGGCACGTCATCTCCTTCCTATCGTGGCATTTACAGTCTCGTGCAGACCTGAAGTGGTTCCGAAGATGACTAACGACGATGTACCGATCTCTTGCCTTTGTGACGTCACACGAGGCGCTCCCGGACGTGGATGGTCTTGGACACTTCCTGTTGCCCTATGACGTTGCTGTAGCCTCGAAATGGTCGTCTGGTGGACGTGGAAGTGATTAGCAACATCTCTCTATGTTTGGCCAGCATGCAGCATTCCAACTGCTTGGTCCCCTTTGGGCGTTGGTCAACCTGTGCTTTTATGCGAGCTGAGTGTGCACATTGCACGTGCACCATGGTTTTCTCTTCATCCAACTGCACGTCCCTGTGATTTGAAAACTTATGTTAAGTATATGTTGACAGTACCAAAAGAAGATGACAGTATGGGTTACATGAGCATTAAATATGCTATGTTTAGGAATATTCGGAAGTTATAAAGACATATGTTTATTAAACCAGCAATAAGTGACAGGAATAGAATATATTAGCACAAACATTTAGAGGGAAAGGTAACCCACTTTTAGCAATGCCAGATGGAACAGTTTTGACTAAAGAAATCATAATATCAACCGGTGGTTAGGTGGATGCTTTAACCTCCAATGAACCTTAGTGTTACCGACATCTTGCCAATGTTACTTGTCAGCGAGACAGATCAATTAGCATGACGTTTCAGAGCGACTTTCAAGATGTGGGTGTGGCACAATATCTTACACATGTATATTTAATTGTATATTCACATATGTACTGTGGGGCCACATGCCCAGGATACAAAGCAATATATGGAAACAGTGTAATGTACTGTCTAGTGAGCACTGCATGAGAAACATTGAAAAGTTTCAAAGGACATTAACATCTTACGGATACAAATGCTTGGAACATGTGGATAAACTTAAATTTTCTGATATTTTCTCCTGAAATCATTTCAGCAGACAAACAAATTATACTCATCTTCAATTATATTTGAGCTACTTTGTGTATATGTTTTCTTTTCACAGTTTGTTGGTTTCCTAATTCCATCAACAATCTATGTGAACTCTAATGAAATTATGTTTATATTTTCAACGAATTACGTCAAAAGGTATTGTTCTGCACATATATGGATTTTATACTTTATAGTAACTGCGCTTACCAGGAGAGCCTAAGACAGAACGATTCTTTTTGGAAATACATGTCGTCTAGAGTTGGATGATCAGGAACACAGTGGCGATGCTTTGCATATCTACACATTACTTTGATAAAGATGTGTAATTGTAATCTCATTTTGTGCGCGCCATGGCTTTCATATAACATAATATCTAGTAACATATAACAACAATTTCTAGGCAAGGTATTGCATGCCATCTTTTATATGCCCATTGAATATTTTATACTTATTGCATGATGAACAATATATAGGGACTCCACAACATTCACCGTGAATTGTAACATTGTATGTACATTGTTTGACATCAGGGAATCGTTTATAAGCAAATGTATGTACTGCTTCCAGCTTTCAGTTCATGCAGAAACAAGTTGCTAAGTCATTTAATAGAAGAGGACAACTTTTAGTATCAAATATTTTGAAAAATCTGATGTGTGAAAGATACGTTTTTGTGTGAAATGCCAACAAATATAGCCTCCTGTGCATGTTCATTCAATGGTAATGTCTTTGTAAATGACAAATTCAATGCATTTGTAACATGTAACAGTATCCACTATCTTCCCTTCCCTTTCTTTTCTTGATGGCTTTATGAAAAAACAATACAAAGGAGCGTGGAACAACACTGGTATGAAAGGTACAAGGATCAGTATAGTTATCATTTATCTTAACGCATGATTGCATCCATTCATAAATACTGCACATCAGTTTCCTCATTTTGCTGGCAACACAATGTGAACAAAATAAAAGCCACAGAATCTGAAAAGGAACTTCAAATAACTTTCCTCCTTCCGATTTCTATGCCGGTCTATAATACTATGTAACACAAACATGTCATCATTTGCCGAACGGATAAACCCAACTTGCCTCTGCAGTTTTATCTCGAGACTCATACCAGTACACTAAATACACTGATGATTGAAATACGCTCTTTGCTTAATATGCTAGAAACTTTAATGCCTGTGTGATTGTATACATCATTTGTAGATCCCTTTTAATGAAGTGGATTTACAAATTCCCAGGCACCAGTTTTGGGAAGAATCTGAAATCGTAAAGTAAACTACTTTCGTAAATGACACGGTGATAACGAACTAAGGGATAATAACGAACTATTTTATTGTCCCCGGTCAAATTTTAGTCAAATGCGTGTAACAAACTATAGTAGTATACTGTAAATAGGTATTACTGGTATAGTAAT